GCGTGTGCACGTACACGTGCGTGCGTGTGCACGTACACGTGCGTGCGTGTGCACGTACACGTGCGTGCGTGTGTGTACACGTACACAGAATACATGTACATGATCGCGGACCTAACAAATATACCCATGAATGCTCGGAATCGTTTAGAACAGAGCTCAAAACGTCACGCTAGTTCTCACGGAAAGTAATACAGAAAGTTATTGTTTTCTCTGTTTCTTCATAGCTATATACAAGCCCATGTGCTTATATCATAGAAATATATAGAGTCTAACTAGTATATTATTTTTATGAGTTGTATATATCCAGAGGATTATCCAGAGCACGTATATCATATATGATATCAGGGGCGTAGCCAGGATTTTTAAAGTTGTAGGCACGACTATCTGAGCGGAGCGCCACCATCGGTTGGCGCGGAGCGTACAAGAAAATTTTTGGTTTTACAAACCCCCCAGATGGCCGGAAACGGCCTTTCCCGAGTGTTCATTCTGGTTCCCTGACCTCTTGCTAACTTGAGACACCTAATTCAATATCACTTTTAAACCCAAAAAACACAAACGAGTTAAAATAGTGTTACGAATGTTAAAAAACTGACAAGAATGGATCCTAGTCTTTTTCGGCGGGTAGAGTGTTGAATGAAACGGCACGCGATAGAAATGACAGCCTAGATGACAGAAGAATAGGTCACCTAATTTAGCCATATTCTTGCTACGTTCATTTCAATAGTTTTTCCTGCCTAGACTCTTAAACTCGTCCAGCAAGCTTATGGATTGGAATTATGGGTGTTTAAAAAAAAGAAGATAACTTGGCCAAAAAAAGTGTAGGCCCGGGCCTACAGTGCTACATACTGGCTACGCCCCTGGATATATAGACCCTACGTGCTCTAACCTGTATGATACAGGCGGTATGTTTCGCTTCACTACACTATCTACACTGAAGTGTAGTGAAGCGGAACCGGAATCGCCTGTATCATACAGGTTATACGTGCTCTGATATATTTCTATGGTTTCTCCTGTCATATTTCCGCTAGAGGACAGCATGCGCGTAAACCGGATGTCACACGAGCTCAGCGTCACGAGTTGCGGTCCGAAGTTGCGGTGTTACAGGTAAGACCGTTGTATATTTTCAATATATTTGGTTTATTTTGAAATCGTTGTGTTTATACGTTGCAGTGAATAAAATGCGGTGTGGTATATCATACTAAGATAAGGCTCGGATATACTTATATAGAATTAGAACGCAGAAAGTTATCATGTTGTGATTTAGAATTAGAGTTGTGTTTTGAATATTTCGAAGTAGGCGTAGATACTCGGTAGTACTATGATCATGATGGAGTACTCGGATGTAACCCAACAAGAGTAGGGTTACAACGCGTCCCTATCCTTTTGTGTGGAGGAACCCCTGAGTGAATCACTCAGGGCGGTTTGCTGGTGCGTTTTCAGAGACTAGAACTTCCAAACTGGGTTTATTCTCAACACGAATCTTTCTCCGCTATCCTGGAACTTGGAAGTGGAACTTACTATGTATCACATTCACAATACTCTGTATTAAACTAATATAACGTGTTACAAAAATTCGAAGTGACGAGCGGCGGATATATTGAGCGCCATTTCTGTTGACCTGTGACGTACGCATTCCCAATGCGCATAGCGTTCGGCCCACCTCGGCCACCACCGAACGCTATGCGCATTATAGGAATGCGTACGTCACAGGTCAACAGAAATGGCGCTCAATATATCCGCCGCTCGTCACTTCAAATTTTTGTAACACGTTATATTAGTTTACTACAGAGTATTGTGATACATAGTAAGTTCCAGGATAGCAGAGAAAGGTTCGTGTTGAGAATAAACTCAGGTTGGAAGTTCTAGTCTCTGAAAACGCACCAGCAAACCGCCCTGAGTGATTCACGCAAGGGTTCCTCCACAGAAAACCATAGGCTCGCGTTGTAACCCTATCCTGTGTTTGGGTTACATTATTGTATTTACGGTACTACTAGCACTACTACTACTAGTAGTACTACAGTACTAGTACTACTACGGTGCCACTACTAGTACTACTACTAGTACTAGACAGTAGACTAATACGTACTTCGAAATATTCAAAACATAACTCTAAATCACAAGTCACAACAATACTAGTAGCCTCTACGAAAACAAAACATTGGTGGTGGCTACATATACTATTACTAATAGTAATAGTAATACTAGTAAATATAATCATAATCATGTCATGATAATTATCCATGCAGCATGCTTATTTAGTAATATCTTTTTAATATTGTCCAATTGGCTTTGCTACAAGTTACAACACACAATCTTGCCGAACGCCAGTGTGAATAGACGATATGAACAAGTTTAGTTGACTGAAGTTGAAGTTGGTAAACGTGAATGGCAATACTAATATCTCGAAATATGCATTCCATATCCTTTGTTTCACACAATTTTACGACAAACTTTTTAATATTACAAATACTCTATCAAATGCATCTGTCATTGTCTTGCATGTTGTTGAGGAGCATTTGCACCTTGTCTGAGTAGAATTACCATGTGTTATAGAGTACATTTACGAATAATAATGATAAACTAATATTACAATAATGAATAAAATACACATGCATGCTTGCACACACACACGCACACACACAGGCGCAATGCAGACCCATGCACGCGCACACTCGTGGAGTGTTTGTACTGGTTCTTGGAAACCTGGTCAGCTGACTAGTCCAGTAAGAATTTTAAAATGACGTTACCAGGTCTGGAAAGGCCAGAAAAATAGACAATTATCTTGTTTGGTCCTCTAGTCTAGAGTCTTGGATAATATTAATAACAAGTTCAATATTTTAAGCTATAACCATGTGTACTGGCTCAGAAGGAATATAACTTGCACGGAACAAGGGTTTGTTTACTAACTGCTGATTGGAAGATATGAGGTACAAAGATTGTATCAGATAGTCGGAACCCTAGATTGGACACCATAGCTTGTTTACACGCGTGTTCCTAGTTTCAGGATCACGTTTATTTTCCGAGTTTCGGAGGCGTGTATAATCTCCGTGTTTCAGAGACGTGTATATTTTCTGAGATTCGGATACATGTTTATTCTCCGAGTTTCAGAGACGTGTGTCTTCTCCGAGATTCGAAGATGGGTTTATTCTCCGAGACTCGGAGCAGTCTTTAGCTCTTACCGGTTATACTTCAAAAATACTGTATTTTTGCCATTAGTCAAGTTGGTAACTGTAAATGCAGGTACAAGTTCATTTTGATACATTAAAGGACATATAGTTTGTTTATAATAAAGGTTTAGAAGTTGCTAAACAAGTTACTACTCTAACTCATTAGTCCTGGTATGTTTTCTGCCTACTGCCTGTTGTTGGAGTTTTAGAGTGTCATTACTGACACATATGCGATCACTGTCCTCGTAAAGAGCGAGAAATGGTCCCACTTTTAATCTAAAAATGCACCATTGTGCGCATACTCACGGGTGATCACCCCTAGGGTCACTATATGAATATATAGATAGTAGCACCTATTGTGTGATATCAGATTTCATACGCTTGGTTTAATCTTTGTAGCATATATACCTCGTATATATAGCGTGTACTACAGTGAATACAATATTTAATACTGCTCTTAATTCTATTTATCATTACATATCTTGAAAGGTATACAGCACGCAAAGTCCAAGTTTAATGGAAAGATAGGCATTTGTGGAGTACCCGCTACAATCATGCATCAACTGATGGTTGTACTCGCTTGCATGTGTTGGTTGCTGGCAAGTGTTGCCACCACTCCACTAAAGTTTCAGCCACTAGATCTGAATGTTGATGCATCTGCAGTGTGTGGAGACAATAAGACTACCTGTCCAGGTAACCGATAGAACTCTTACTCGTATATTGGTCAAGATTGTAAAAGAGAATTTTAATATTGATCAACTTTCAGAAAATGAGGAGTCTCACTATATTATGTATATTATGTTACAAGATGCTAAGGGTCACATTCCTCACACAAGTATGATTAGCTGTGGCTTGATGTGCGTGTAACTAGGCTGGTGATGCAGATCGTGCTGTATTTTGTGGAAGTACTACAGGGAAATGTTGTACTATACCATACTGAAACTACTGCCTGAACGACATTAACATATAGGGTGTCATTCCCACATAATGTTGGCAAACTTATTTGTTCAGCATGTAATAATTTGATGGAAAATGCATCACATATACACCTATTTAAAGTAGTATTGAGTTTGATGTGATGAAATGCCTTGAAATATTTCAGACATGGCTACCTGCTGCAAGCTTTCCGATGGCGAATTTGGTTGTTGTCCGTTTAAAAATGCACATTGCTGCCTGGATGGAACCCACTGCTGTCCAGAAAATGCTAGGTGTGATGAAGAAAAGCAGAAATGTATTCCAACAAATCATCTATCTGTCTTCAATCATCTGGGGATCACAAAACTTTATCATCCTCGAAGAGTTGCAGATGTCATTTGTCCTGGAGGAAAGGTAACGCAATGCAATGCCTTAAATGACTGATTTTAAATGATGTTTTTTTTAAGCGAAGCTCAAGTTGGTCTTAATATTTTTCTACTCTTGTTTTACAGGAAAAATGTCCAACTGACATGACATGCTGTCCTCTGGGTTCAGGCATTGGGTATGGTTGTTGTCCATTGCCAAAAGCCATATGCTGTGCAGACCATACGCACTGCTGCCCAGTTGGCTATACATGTAACTTGCCAAAGGACACGTGTGATAAGGTAAGTAGCCACTGTCCAGGGACACGCCCAGAAAATGTTGAGTTTTTGGTAGTGGAAGGGTGGCTGTGGGTCGTGCATTCCCTAAAATATTTTGGGGAAAAAAACAATTCATTGTTCTGCAATCAAGACTATTCCTTTTTTGATGTCATGCAGCAAATCGATAGACCCCTGTTAGTTTACGTTAAGCCTAAAGTCTATGGAAAACTCTAGAAGTCTACAAGTGAAGGTTTACCAATAAATACCGAATTATGTCCAGGATGTGTGTTCTTTTTCAGCAATCGTTGATGGATTCTTTTTGTGAATAGTAGTTTACTCACTTTGCACACCATTTACTAAATCAATATCTTTTGTGCGTTAAATGTAAATCTGTTAACCGAGCCTTCATTAAATGAGGTATGTTAGTACTAATATTTCAGTTTAACATCTATTGATAATTATTTTGATAGTCATATAATCTAAAGCTATTACCTTAACATTTACAGGCTGGCTCACTTAGCATCCCCCTTCTTACTAAACAGACTTCTGTGAGTGTCGACTGGTCTAATTCCATAGATCAGCCACATCGCAATAATGAGATGAACTATCAGCTATTCCTTGGGGTGGAAGATGTTTTGTGTCCAGATAGGAAGTCCAAGTGTCCAGCTGGGACCACATGTTGTATGATGACCACAAGTGAGTGGGGATGCTGCCCTTTACCAAAGGCAGTCTGTTGTAAAGACAAGCTTCATTGCTGTCCAGAAGGAATGACTTGTGATGTCGCTGGTAGTCGCTGTAGCTCAGGAGAGCACAGCGTTCCCTGGGATGACAAGTTTATAGCAAGGTCTGATGCGGGTGAGAATGTTAAACATCGTAAGAAGTCTACAGCTGTTATTTGTCCAGATGGAAAGTCCCAGTGCCCCGATCAAACCTCGTGCTGTGTAATGACCACTGGGCAGTATGGATGCTGTCCATTACCAAAAGCTGTCTGCTGCAATGACAAGGTGCATTGTTGCCCACAAGGCACTACGTGTGATGTTGCACAGGGAAGATGCAGCCAGAAAGACCTTTCTTTGCCCTGGTATAAGAAGTTTGAAGCCAGTGCTGTAAATGTTTTACCTACCCAGGAGGAGTCAACTAGCAAGAATGGTGACAATACTGATGTTAAAGCTGTTATTTGTCCAGATGGGAAGTCTCAGTGCCCAGATGAAACCACTTGCTGTAAGATGACCACAGGTCAGTGGGGATGCTGCCCTTTACCAAATGCTGTCTGCTGTAGTGATAATATTCACTGCTGCCCCACAGGAACAATGTGTGATGTCACACATGGATCATGCAATAAAGGTAATGAATGTTGAGCAGGGGTAGAAATTAACTTTTGAACACGGGAGTCCAACGGACTCCCTACCCTCAAAAAGAGGGAGTCCGCAGCAAAATGAGGGAGTCCGCAGTCTGACGTTCAAAATTAAAAATATTAACAATAACACGTGCTTTTTTCAAGATTCACGTGGTTGCACGTCTGCCAAATTTTCTTTGGACATTAGATGGAAAATAGGGTAATTCCGCGACGAAGCCGTGCTCTGGATTGAACTAGTTGGTATGGCAGAATTTTCAGGGAGTCACACGGACTCCTGCATATGTCAAATCGGGGAGTCCGCTCTGGATTGAACTAGTTGGTATGGCAGAATTTTCAGGGAGTCACACGGACTCCTGCATATGTCAAATCGGGGAGTCTGACAGTAAATCGGGGAGTATTTGACTCCGGACTCACATTAATTTTGCACCCTGGTTGAGTATACTTATTTTATGTGGGCACACACGTACAATGTCAGTTTTAATTATGCAGTTGGACCTGGTTACAATGCCATATCTAGTACCAAGGTGACATTGGTATAATGTAATGAGATTTTTTTATCTGAGGTAGTCTTCTGCTTTATGAAGTATTTCCCTACAGATAACAGTTAGAAGAATTATACCACTATTAATTTTAAAATACATATTTGTAAAGTATTTTTTTATTGATTCCATTAGAATATGCAATATTAATTTTGTGATAATCCAAATAGTTTCAGGTGACAGTGCAGACAGTAGCATTCCATGGTTTATGCATACGCCAGCTTGGGAGAGAGTTCCAACTGTTGCTGTCGTAACCCCTGAACAAAGGACTGGTCTCGGCAACTTGGCATTGGACAACCACCATTCCATGACCTTGGCGACAGAAATGGTCAACAAGGGTTTGTCAGCGGTGATATGTCCTGATGGTGCCCACCAGTGTCCAGATAGAAACACTTGCTGCAAGATGACCACTGGCCAGTATGGCTGTTGTCCATTGTTGAATGTAAGCTCCACATTATGCTGTCTAATATCACGTGCCTTCCCACACATGTGTTATTGTAACTAGTGTTTACATGGTTTATGTAACAACTCTATATGCATTGTAACAACTAATAAGCACAAATAATGCCTAATATTCACAACCATTATGTTCTTTTACAGGCGTCATGTTGCAGTGATGGTTACCATTGCTGTCCACAAGGCTACCTTTGCGATGGATCAATGTGTATGAACAATGACAGCAGAGTAACTCACGAGACAAATCTTTTGGAAGAGATCTTTAATCCATAGAGTCGTATTCTGGAAAACACTGTTAAGCACTGCTATTAAGACTGTGGTAGTGTATGGATAACTATCATGTAACGTGTGTGCACCTGTTAAATTTTTGCAGTAGTAGTACAGGTATTACTAGTTAAATTAAAATTAATGTACAAATCTTTTTGTCACTTCTGCACTAACTTTACTTTTTATTCTGTGTGCAAGACTGGTTAATGTATGGAGGAAATACATGTTGGTTTTCACTATTCTTTTCATGAATACAGTAAGTCCATATAAAATGATTGTTGCAGTGCTGCGATTGCTGAATTTACTTTTTGCTATTTACTTTGAGAAATTACAATAAGGAAATTTTATGCATTAACAGGTAACGGGTGTCATGTCTAAAATAATGATACGATAAAGTATTTGTATGGTTTTCTACTTGTTTGCTGAAATAGGGTCTTGTAACCAAAGAATCGTTGGAAAAGATTTTGTATAAGAACCAATAACGACCAATTTATTCACTATTTTCATGTGATTGTGTGAATATATACTTTGTATTACAAATTTTGTATGGCCTTGATAGCACGCAAATGTTTATAAATTGGATGGAGTCAGTATGAGTATGTGAATGGTGTGTGGACGTGTATAGGAGATTAACCTATGTATATTTGCTGGAATGTGTTTGGTTAAATATAAATATGAAGTATAATAGCACAAACTCAATTGTCTAATTGAATATTTGTGTGTAGCACGTGGTTCGGCATGAGGAATAAACGTAAACGTGAACGTAATAAATGGATACGCTGACGAGTCGATCAAGACTCGTTTTCTACGTGTGTATAACTAACCTATAGTACTGTAGTATTCTCGCTTCTTTGTAGTCTTTCATATAGTATTTTGGTCGTGGGGAGCAATTAACAAATCAAAACGGTCGCACCCAGTATTATGAATACATAATATCACGTATTACATTGATATATCATGTACTTCTGGCAATATCGATGTGGAAATTTTAATTTAAGCATAAATAGCAACAAGACATCGTCGTCGCCAAAGCTGGGGTCTCCTCGCATACAAACATTTAATTGATCTTGAAAAAATTGACAAACATTAAAAATAAAAACAGTTACGGTGTCCTTGAGCGCAGCATCTTGAAAGGCGATCTCGTTCGAGATGATCATGAGTTTGTACACAGTTATGGCATGTATTTTGTTTCATTATTCAATTTTTTGTTTTATGGTTGATTTTATCACATATAACATTCACGGATCGAATGATTCGATTCACGGATCGAATGATTCGATTCACGGATCGAATGATTCGATTCACGGATCGAATGATTCGATTCACGGATCCGAAAGAGAAGAACAGCGAAAAGTAGTGCCGTCGCGGCAAAGGAATGAACGGGAAAGTGCTAAAAGCAGATGAGAAGCGATGTTTAAGAACATGAAGGTCTTGGATCCGACACCGCCGAGAGAACGGAACTGAGAGAGGAAGGAGCCGGGAAATGTGTCGGATTCACGGATCGAATCATTCAATTCACGGATCGAATGATTCGATTCACGGATTGAATCATTCGATTCCCTAATCGAATCATTCGATCCTGAGATTTATACCGGACCACGTTTCCGACTCTCGCATCATCTATCAACAACTTGAGCAAAACGGCACTAGTTCAACTTTGGAGCATTTTTACATTATGATAATTAATAAATTTCGTACTCATTAAGTATTATAGCTCATAATAAGCAGGCGATATCAAATAATAATGTTACAATCTATTCTTGGCATTTTGAGTAGAGGATGGATGGTAGAGGATGGTGGGAGAAGACGGAGGAGGTAGAGGAGGGGGAGAAAGTGGTGGAGAAGGAGGAGGAGAAGGTAGAGGAGGGGGAGAATGTGGTGGAGGAGGACGAGGAGTGGGGAGATAGGGGAGAGAGGAGGGGGAGAATGTGGTGGAGGAGGACGAGGAGTGGGGAGAGGGGGTAGAGGAGGGGGAGAAGGTAGAAGAGGATGGTGGGAGAAGGTGGAGGAGGTAGAGGAGAGTGGGAGAATGTGGAGGAAGTAGAGGAGGGGGAGAAGGTGGTGGAGGAGGAGGAGGAGGTAGCGGAGGAGGGGGAGAATGTGGTGAGGCAGGGAGGGAGGGAAGGGGTCGAGGTGGTAAGTGAGTGAGTGAGAGAGGGAGGGATCGAGGTGGTGAGTGAGGGAGGGAGGGAGGGAGGGGGTCGAGGTGGTAAGTGAGGGGGGAGGGAGCGATCGAGGCGTCTTGTGCTCACCGGCCGGCCCGCAGAATGCACAATATATTGTAAGTGGGCAAATCCCAAACGCGAGGGAAGTGATGGCGATGCGGGAACGCAACCGGTGTCGGTTAACCGGTGTCACTGGGGGAATGTATAGGGGCCTGTTACAGGGGGAATGTACAAAACAGACGAGAAGGTCAGCGGTCGGGCCCGAGATCAAAGTGAACCGTGGCTCGGGACAGAGCCGGCCAGCCGGAAATCACGGCTATGAATCCCCGAATTCTTGCGGGTTGTGACAGGCAGCTCTAGAATATCGACCGCGAAGGTGCCAACCTGTGGATGGCTGTGCTGACACCAGGGCCAGTATCATGGAACCGAGCCAAGTGGGAAATGCTTACCACACCGTATTCGGTAGTTGTAATTCAGTAGTTGTAATACTTTATACCGAGCTAATACGCTAATAATAGCTAAAACGAAACCGGTGACGCGGAGGAAGGAGCACGGTCGTGGGTCCGAGCCACGACGTATAAATAGTGGGGGACGCCCCTCCTCCGGAGCTTTTGTAAAAGCGACACCCGCTATGTAAGGTGTTTTTTTCTAGGTGCTTGCATATAGCGGGACGAGTTAATCAAAGTTGACTAGAGAATGATTCGATTCACGGATCGAATGATTCGATTCACGCATCAAACTATTCGATCCTGGCATCAAACCATTCGGTTTTAGAATCGAATGCTTCGATTCACGGATCGAATGCTTCGATTCACGGATCGAATGCTTCGATTCACGGATCGAATGATTCGATTCACGAATCGAATGATTCTATTCACGGATCGAATGATTCGATCCTGGCATCAAACCATTCGGTTTTGGAATCGAATGATTCGATTCCAAAACCGAATGATTGGATTCTCTTTTCTGATATAAAATCAAATAATGTGAACATTTAAAACAGGGAATTATTGTCGATTTATTGCATATAACATATGATTAAATAATCAAATATTATATGCGATAAATCAAATGTTATATGCAATAAATCAAATGTTGTATGTGATAAATCGAATGTTATATCTGATAAATCGAATGTTATATGTGATAAATCGAATGTTATATGTGATAAATCAAATGTTATAATATATTATAAATCGAATGTTATATGTGATAAATCGAATGTTATATGTGATAAATCAACCATAAAACAAAACTCGAATTATGAAACAAAATACATGCCATACACAGTGGCGTATATCTTTCGTGAGTTTTACACAGTGGCGTCATATCTTTCTGTAACTTATAATACCATCTACTGTAGACATACTATCTATCTATCTTTCTTGAGTTTTGCACAATGACGTATATCTTTCGCGGGGTTGTGCAGGTTGGCGTACGCCCTTCGTGAATTTGTGCACAGCGGCGTATAATTATCTCTCTGTGAGTTTATTCACAGTGGCCTGCGAGCGGTGGCATCCTGTGTTGTAGAGGACTAGTTCAACTTCGTTTAAGTTGAATTATTAGTCGATATAGAGCGCCTGAATATTCAAGCTTTGGTAGTAAATATAATTCGTGTTTCTCTAGCGTCATTTTGTTATACTGGCGCGGCTCAAATGTCCGTGGTGTTAGCCATGCGCCAGCGCAGCCGTCCGCTGCCTAGGGAGCAATACGGCCCTTCATGAACTCGATGTAGTCAGGCCTGCGCAGTGCACGTGGGACCTTCAGCTGATTAATCGACGCTCCCGAGTGGTGGATGATGTAGTCACGGAAGGCTTCGAATGTTCCCGGCGTTACGATGTTAACCTGTTGCAATCAGAGACGACGTCAGTGGAATGAAACGACGGAGAAACTACCTAAACGTGGTTATTATGCACAGAAGTGTGGTTACGCACACGTAGCACATACGCGTGCACACATGCACACACACACTCACACAAACAAACACACACGCACACACTCATCACGTAACCCCTTATTATATCTAGTCGCTCACTTGCTAGCACCTCGCTCACTACGTGACGACGACGACGCACACGCAGGCGCACTCACGATGGTTAAACATAAACTCGCAATCGTATTACCCGCCATTACAAACAGTGAGACCGATGACCGGTTTTACATCGACCACGAAAATAACGCGACGAAATCCGCGTCTTGAAATACGTAGGGCAGAGATAACCCCTCGGGGGTCTATCCTTATTTGAGAATTTAGCAAAAAATATGAGGTTCCTGGAACTTTTCTATGGTCGGTCAGGAAACCGGAAACGTGATTTCATTTTGTCACCATAGTTGTATAAGCCATATCGGAAAGTACCCGCCGCCATATTGAGATCAGATTATAGGGATGATAAGTTGCCCATATATAGTATATAATATAGTGTATATATAGTAATATATAGTATATATATACTATATATATATAGTTAACTTAACATATACTATATATATAAAATAAATAATATTATAGTATATATATAATATATATATATACTATATATATATTATATAGTATACATATAGTTGCCATATGATAGTATACTAGTCTAGATTTTTTATCTATAATTCTCTTCACTAACATCGTACTTCATTTCACAGGTGCGCGCGTATCTGTTTACAGAAACATATACAAATATGATTGTGGTCATTTTGAATATTTTGCAATGTATGTTGCAATTTTGCAAAACTAAAAACGCACGAGTGTTTACATTAATCATGTACTTTCCTAAGCGCGCCGCGGCCATTTTATACCCCTTTTTCTATGACCTAAATAACACAGCTGGACTTTCCGATATCACTTACTGTATAAGCTGTATATTTCGAGGTGGTTTAATTTTCGCGAATTTCGCGAACGCGTTCCCGATGCGAAAATAACAACACGCGAATAATTCATACCGAATAAGTCATAATTCACCGACCGCGAAATTAACCACTCGCGAAATTGGCCGTCAAGTCTGAATTCGCGAAAGTATACTGAGAGCCGCGTTTACCTTCATGGGACCTATGGCGTCCTTTCGACGGAAAGAAGCATACGGGTATGTCTCAAGTTGCAGGTTGTCGTCCAGCTGTTAATAATATTCACCTATTGAGTTTTGTTCATACAGCAAAACATGATACGTGATATACCTCGCTTAAATTTACACCTGACTTATTTAAGAGAATGCGTTTGGCACTTAAAACCACGATTAAGTGAATCTACTGTAATTGGCAATATTACAAACATGTGTGATAGCAAAAATATATGATTGCTTAATCGGTTTACGGGCGGTATATATTTTGTAGTATATGTATCAGGAGATATGTATCTTAATTGTGTAGCAATTAGTGCATGTATTGAATTGTTTGATGATGCGCTGGGTGTGTTTATTACAAATTCATGCAAGGCAACATTCTTTAATATCTTCTCTCAATGTAAGGGTACAAAGTTACCATTGCTTTTTGCTTTTCGGTGAGTTTCACGTCATCGCCACCCACGAGCTCGATGAACACAATATAATAAGGCGCGACGTGCGTCGATGCATCTCTATTGCCTGAAAACAGGTAAATTTACGCGGTAACCTTTAGTATAATAAACCAATTTATACTGTTGAAATAGGACGGTAGAAGTTGCAGGAATTGTTCTTTTTTTAATGTGCATATTTCATTGTATTTATTGGAAACGTCATTTTGAATCTAACCCTATCGAAAAACCTGCACCAGGTGTGATCCGAATAAATAAAACTGCCAAATTATAATTATTTGTTGAAAAAAGTTGCGGACTTTTTACGAGTAAACGCGGAAACAGTACGAAAAATACTCGGATTGTAAACACTTAATTGTCCACCTTGCTCGTCGAGTACGCTTTCAGCGCAGCTGTAGTCTTTCAGGGTAACTGTTGACCACTGTTTCACGGTATTGATCATGGCCTGGTAAAATGCATCTTCGGAAGTCTTCTCTCCGTGTACACTCAATAGCTGTCCAGTTCTACGCAACATGAGAAAGTCATGTTTGTAACATTTCTCGACCAGCTGCCTCATATCGCGTTTACGTTTATTAGCAAAAATCCCAGAATACCATTCAACGAGTACATTTTTATCTGATGTTCACGTAGTCAAGTGGTCTTTCCGACTTGGCTGGAGGTATATGCGCAAGTAATATATGCCACCCTGCTCCGTACACATACTAGTTTTCGAATGTTTAATTCGCGAAAACGCGAAGAGCGAAACGTGAAGAGTTTTGCGTTTGTAGACTACAACCGAAACGCATGGCTATGCCGCGTGCTACACGCGTGTGTCATTCAACCAAGTTTAGTGGCCGAATCTATGTACAAGATGTGCTGAGTTCTAATGATTGTATTCCCGTTGGTTGTACGTGCACTGTGATAATGAAAGTTAACGTTTATGAGGTATCGTTGATCTTTGAATTATGAATGTACACAGTTAATAAATATAACATTAAAGATGACTTTCTACGAAATATGGGGAACGTAGTTTTTATGACAATACTGTGAAGTGCAGTAACTAACTAATGCACTTTGCCTGAACGGTAGCTTCACTAAAAGCGATAGTGTACATAAATGTATCAAGAAATTAGTTTCGTATTTCATAAAACATACACCGCCATTCCCATCGTGTGCTAGTTTTGGATAATGACGTAGATATGCGCATAATTATATCAACGATTATGTGTAAAAAGCTACAACTAGATATCGTATAATATTAGTTTAAATGAACGCGAGTTTAAATTAAGTTGAGCCTTTTATCCTTACCTGTACTTGAAGCAAATTATAGGCAATCGGTTCATAAAATCCACTACTTCGATGACATCGCCAATGCGGAATCGGTAGAGGGCGCATAATGTTGATGCCACTAGTTCATACTTTTCTCCGGCTTTAACCTAAATACCAACCCAATTGGTCCCAATTGGAATTTACCTCTATCTAAGGTCGATTCTTGGTTTACGTATGATTTGCGTGTTCAAATAGATGCTACGTAATTATGCTCCCATTTTAAGAAAACTATCAAATTTGAATCACAATGATGCTGATCAACAGTGGTCAACTTCAACTACAAACAACGCAATCATTTGTTATGTCAGGAACAACAAAGGTATCGCCACGAACCATATACCGTCATTGTATTGGTCGCAGATTTACGTAGGCGTTCAAGCATTATCACATTTTCAAGTCAGTTAAATTTACCTGGTCAATGAACAAGGTTTTAGGCTGCTCTTCACCTATGTGTTCAATTGGTATGAATTCAAAAAATGCCACGGTTGGCATCATTGTGTACCGCTCATCGCCTGCCTTTCTATTGGGGTCCAGATTCACTCCTAGCAAGAATATTACAAAAAGCGTGTTAGACACTTGGAACTATTTGCGCAAAATGTCATGAATGGGCGAGTAGCGTGTACAGGGCACCTGGAACTATTTCCCACTCTATTATATACTATTATTATATACTATATTATATATATTATCATACTTTTACTATAGAGGCAATTTACAATAACGATTTTGAATTAGCAGTGTTTCAACCTTAACCGTCCCACTGCGCTTGATTGATGCGCTGCACGCTGCTCGATTTTTGGTCGGCAGATTAAATTAATTCTTATATATGAGATAAATTTGGAAATATGAATAATAACAAAAATAATATAGCAGTAACGTAATAATAATGAGTTGTTTATGAAAAAAAACGCGTACGATTGTTGATCCTAACGTTACGAATAAATTATCGTTATTTCAATCGTTATGATGATACTTTATAATGTATAACAAATTTTACATATCCACGAAAAAATTATGATAGATACAGACCGACCATCGCTTCCGTGGAGCCGTAGACTGGAGAGTAGATGGTGCATCCGCGGGCGTACGACCTCAGCAATCGTTCCGCGTACATGGCAAATGTTCCGGATGTTGCGGCGACGATCACCGATAAACTCGGCCAGAGACGCTTGAAGATACCATCGAACCCTTTCTTGATTTCCCTTTCGATTTCGTCTGCCCGCATTGGGTCTGGCTTCATGTACTATTGAAAAGTCGTCGAAAAACTGTTAACCTGATTTCTACGTATGTTAAGTAACATATTATCAGAAGTAGATAATAGGGAAACAGCCTTTCCCTATTATCTATACTTCTGATATTATTATGCGCATCTGATTGGGGTTCGCCATAGAATAATTATGATCAATTAACATATTACTAAAGGCCATATATAATTCTCTCCGGTCTTTGATAGTAGGCAACGTAAAACATTAGTTGCTAATAATTATTCTAGCATATGATAATTATTCTAGCATATTAATAATAATTATTGTTAAGGCTACGCGCCATAGCTGTTCTAAAATTAATAACACAAGTTGGTAACAGGTGATTAGATTTTGTGCACAGACGGTTTGTATAGTTATTCTCTTCTAGTATATAGACATGATAAAATTTAACACAGTGCGTATAAACTATTAGAGTGGGATCTATAACATTTTAAAGTTATTATTAATAGTTTTATAACATTTCAGCATATGCTAAAATGCCATGTTCGATTGGCTCTATAACATAAACTGGTGAACGAGTTACTTCATTAATGAGCTTCCACCTGATCCCTTCATCGATGTTCAAGTCAGGGGTGATACTGCCTTTTCTGATATCTTCTACCAATTGCGGCCACTTCTCTTCGAGACAGAGTCCAAAGGTTTGCACCATACTGCTAAATCCTGTCTCTATCTTCGCTGTAATAAGGTATGGATGTTTATGGAACTATTATATGAAGTAGCGTAATTATACCATAGCATAGGTAGAATGAACTACGATTCTACCTGCACTTTGTGACATCCAGGATGGCACATATTATTTTGATATATATTTTTATATGCCCCTCAAAGCCATTCAATATCATATAAATGTCAAGAGCACAACGTTATCACCCATCAGTGATAGAAGTTTGAACCAAGTATAATCAGTTACATACTTATATACTAATATACATACTGTACATACATACATACATACATTCATACATACATACATACACGCACGCACGCGCACAACACACACACACACACACACACACACACACACACACACACACACACACACACACACAC